CTAAATTGAATTAAAAACGTTTTTAAAATTCCAAATCAATGTATTTTGCCGTTTCCCATAAACTTCTAATGGACCACGAACGTAAAACACCCTGTATTAGTTAGGATGTTATTCCCACACATATTCGTCATTCCCTCACCAAAAATTTGTATGAGGGAATGACGATGAGGGAATGACAAAATGAAACATTATGGCACAAAAATAGGAAACATAACCTTTCTTTTTCATGCGATTGTACGATACTTTATTACTCCCGCATACAAACATATAATAATTGGTACATAAATAAGTGCTTACCTTTTTACAATACAGTGTGAGGAAATGACGTCCAAAAATTTTAATTTGAAAAAGGTTTTTTTTAATACCGATCTAACAAAAAATCTCAGCACTGACAGTTCCGTCTGTCATATTTTTTTAGTATCAATATTGCTAACTTCTGAAAGAAATAAGGCTGTGTATATTAGGGTGTCCGTTATTTGAGTACCTTAGATGCAAAACTCGGTTTTTGCAAATTAAAAAATAAAATAAAATTGACTTTAAATTCTGTTTGGTGTTCGTCCTAGATAGATGGCGTTTATAAAACTTGATACATAATAATATATATAATATAATATTATTATGTATCAAGTTTTATGAACGCCATTTATCTAGGACGAACACTAAACAGAATTTAAAGTCAATTTTATTTTATTTTTTAATTTGCAAAAACCGAGTTTTGCATCTAAGGTACTCATTTGGGCGATGTGCGAATTTTTTTCTCGCACCCCCCAAAAAGTTGTAGTTTGGGAAAAAAAAATTTTTGGTAATTTTTTTAGATTTTTTTTTTTTAATTAACCCGTGCCGCAAGAGGGTTAAAGATTTAATTATTGTTAAAATATGATTAAATTTTGCCTTTCACTATAGGCTTACCACTCCACGATTTTTCAATGAAAAAAGTCTGTCGAGTGGTTTTCTTATAGTTCAAACACCGCTGAACCCGAATCTGAAATTCGTTTTTTTTTTCATTAATCGTTTTTTTAGAATAGCCTGTGTCGGGAGTAGGTAAAATCGCAAATCGGATGAAAAATGGGATTAGGCTCTTTTCACATTCAAAGTCCTGTAACGTCGCCAGTTTTCAATAAAAAAATCTGAAAATTGGCATACTTATGGTTTTGACATCGCTGAACTCGAATCTGACATTTTCATTGATGACAGCTGTCAAAATAGCTGTCAAAAATCCCAAAAACGATTTTTTATTAAAAATGCCCATTTGCCCCTGTAAAATTATGTTTGGAACTTGAAATTTGACAGTTCAATCATTTGTACATTTTATTGAGTGATTTGGATTTCGGTTTTATGAAAATAAATAATTCAAAGTGCATCAAATTCAGATTCAGCGCATGAAATAACCATAAAATGGGCATTTTTAATAAAAAACCGTTTTTTGGGATTTTTGACAGCTATTTTGACAGCTGTCATCAATGAAAATGTCAGATTCGAGTTCAGCGATGTCAAAACCATAAGTATACCAATTTTCAGATTTTTTTATTGAAAACTGGCGACGTTACAGGACTTTGAATGTGAAAAGAGCCTAATCCCATTTTTCATCCGATTTGCGATTTTACCTACTCCCGACTATTCTAAAAAAACGATTAATGAAAAAAAAAAACGAATTTCAGATTCGGGTTCAGCGGTGTTTGAACTATAAGAAAACCACTCGACAGACTTTTTTCATTGAAAAATCGTGGAGTGGTAAGCCTATAGTGAAAGGCAAAATTTAATCATATTTTAACAATAATTAAATCTTTAACCCTCTTGCGGCACGGGTTAATTAAAAAATAAAAATCTAAAAAAATTACCAAAAATTTTTTTTTCCCATACTACAACTTTTTGGGGGGTGCGAGCAAAAAAATTCGCACATCGCCCAAATAACGGACACCCTAGTGTATATATATACTTATATATACTTTAAAATTTTGTTCCAATCCCACTGTTACACAACTGTGAGGAAATGATTCGCTTTTTAAGGACGAATTTAAAAATATATTTTGTGCTCTTTCCGTTTATTGTTTCTAAACTATATATACATTTATGTACAGCAAGTACTTTTATATGAAAATAAATAATAAGATATCAGAGAGTTTATTCGAAACTTTTCAAATTAGATTTGTAAATCTATTTGAATTTGGCGGTTGGGACACAATGAGGAAAGGATTTTTAGGGTATTTACTTAAACATATATTTTTTATTTATGATAAAATAAATAAATGTTTCATAATTTGGTACGGCTAGTGATAGTAGCTTCATAAAAAAATCTAACTTAACCATAACTTAGGATCCCATTTCACAGGAATCAGCAAGGACATAAATTTAGAATTTTTTTGAGAATCAGCCATAAACACTAGCCGGCACTCGGCATAAGGAATACCCACCAAGGCAGAGGGCAATTACGGCGGGTCGTGGCCGTCCACACTTCGGTACTGATTCAGTATCTAACAGGGGGGCAAACAATTCTAAAGAGGTTACCAGGAACCGGAAACTGACTCGGGCAGAGACGTTCAGAAATACACCAAGGACAGGTTCTAGCAGCGTACCAACACTTTTACCTCCATTCATGAATCCCAATTGAATAGTGTTATTACTAAAGCCCCGGTTGAGGAGGATTCCGGATTGTACTTATTTTTGGGCCAGTTCAATGTCCTCCAAAAACCAACTTTTACCCTCCTTGTCCCGATCTCCACTAGCCTAAACTGGGCGTATGGCCCGACCCGGAGAAAAAATCCGGGAGTGGCCTTAACCATAGACACTGTCATCCACGACCTCCTAGGGTAGATCTACCAGCCGGCGTAAAAACTTCGGATCCAACAAACACAGGTAATGCAGTGGCGGGATACGTAGGAGAACGGAAAGGGGGTAAAATAACCCTGGGAGATTAGTGTAAGGTAATACCGATGGGGCCTGCCATACGTCCCAATACTCATAGTCATACTCAAGTAGGAAAATAATGGGGGGAGGTCAACTTCCCGGACAACATTCGTGATATTCATACGAACATCACGTCGTGATTTTCACAAATTTTATTCATACTGATATCATACGGAAGTCACCGCGTGATAAATAAAAATCATACGAACGTCACGTCGTGATTTTCACAAATTTTATTCATACGGACATCATCCGGATGTCACTGCGTGAGAAATAAAAATCATGTCGTGATTTTTTATGCCATCGCTGTTTGCGATTGACCGATGGCACAAAAAATCATGTCGTGATTTTTTATGCCAACGGTGTTTGGATAATCATTTTTGCGCCACGTTCGTACAATAAGAGAAAAATTATGTTGAATCAACAGTTTTTGCGGTTAAATACATTTATTATTTTCTTGGATTTAAATTAACTATATATAGTTAATTTAAATCCAAGAAAATATTGAATGTTAAACTGTTAATTCAATTGTTAACATACTTTTTCTTTCAAAGTACGAATGTGTCACAAAAATGAATATCCAAACACCGATGGCATAAAAAATCATGTCGTGATTTTTTATGCCATCGGTGTTTGGATATTTATTTTTGCGCCACATTCGTATACATTGAAAAAGTATACCTACATATATATTGAATCAACAGTTTTTGTGGTTAAATAAAAACATTCAATATTTTTTTGGATTTAAATTAATAGTTAATTTACATTCAAGAAAATATTGAATGTATTTAACCGCAAAAACTGTTAATTCAATTGTTAACATACATTTTCTAGCAATGTACGAATGTGGCGCAAAAATAAATATCCAAACATGTCCGATGGCATAAAAAATCATGTCGTGATTTTTTATGCCCAAACACCGATAGCATAAAAAATCATGTCGTGATTTTTTATGCCATCGGTGTTTGGATATTTATTTTTGCGCCACATTCGTACATTGAAAGAAAAAGAATACCTACATATATATTGAATCAACAGTTTTTGTGGTTAAATAAAAACATTCAATATTTTTTTGGATTTAAATTAATAGTTAATTTACATTCAAAAGAATATTAAATGTATTTAATTGCAAAAACTGTTAATTCAATTGTTAACATACTTTTTCTTTCAATGTACGAATGTGGCGAAAAATAAATATCCAAAGATGTCGGTGCACCGATCGCATAAAAAATCATGTCGTGATTTTTTATACCCAAGCACCGATAGCATAAAAAATCATGTCGTGATTTTTCATGCCCAAACACCGATAGCATAAAAAATCATGTCGTGATTTTTTTTTGCCATCGGTGTTTGGGTATTTATTTTTGCGCCACATTCGTACATTGAGAGAAAAAGAATACCTACATATATATTGAATCAACAGTTTTTGTGGTTAAATAAAAACATTCAATATTTTTTTGGATTTAAATTAATAGTTAATTTACATTCAAGAAAATATTGAATGTATTTAACCGCAAAAACTGTTGATTCAACATAACTTTTCTTTTAGTGTACGAGCGTGGCGCAAAAATGATAATCAAAACACCGTTGGCATAAAAAATCACGACATGATTTTTTATGCTATCGGTCAAAAAATCACGACATGATGTTCGTATCAATATCAGGAATGTTGTCCTTTTTTAATTGAATTCAATTAAAAAAGGACAACATTCGTGATATTCATACGAACATCATGTCGTGATTTTTTGACTGATAGCATAAAAAATCATGTCGTGATTTTTTATGCCAACGGTGTTTTGATAATTATCATTTTTGCGCCACGTTCGTACACTAAGAGAAATGTTATGTTGAATCAACAGGTAACAAACTAGGTTTTAAATTCGCAGTTCGCAGGGCTATTACGCATGCGCAAATTTTGCAAATATCACACCGTGAGTGCTACATGATATCACTGTGATGAAGCATGTGTATGCACTCAGGATATCACGGTGTGATAAAAAAAAATCACGTTGTGATATCATCATGATTTCACCAGGAAATCCCGATTGTTGTCCGGGTTTAAGCAGGACACTCTGTACATATTCAATTAAAGAGATTTATTATAATAAAAAAAATTAAATTATTTTAGACCTTTATTTTTATGTTCAGATAGTTTTATAAAATTAACTTTCTTTCATTATATTCCACCACCATAAAATAACTCTTTCATTATATACCACCACCATAAAATAAAACAAATTATGTTTAAAAATATTAATTAAATAAAGTATGCCTTTTTATTATAATACCTATATATTTCATATTGTATTATTATAATTTAAAATAAATTTTAAAGTAAAACTAATTTGAAAGATAAGACATTCTTATTTAAAAATAAAGAATATAATTTATAACTTTAGTTATCTTTATGTAGATACCAAAGTATAATGTTATTATATTATATATTATTAATATACCTATCATATTATCGCGTGTACTCACTCAACGATTATGGTATCACAATTATCCTGGATATGATTTACATTTACCAACTGTATCTACCAAAAATCATGATTATGAAAATACAATTTTATATTAACTGAAACAATAATATTACACACCTGTCATATCCACAGGACGCATATTGATGACGTAGTTAGGTCAATATGCGTATTTGCCATTTAAATACAATGTTTAACGTCACAATAAACCATAAGGGTTAATTTTTACCGCTTACTTTGGGGTTTAAACGTGTGTAGGCACAATTAAACCAGGTAAAACATAATTTATAATCTTTCTACTTTGCATGTGTATAAAATTGCTACAGTCAAATTGTATAATCTTGCAATAAATTTATTCTTTAATAATAAGTAAAAAAAACCCATACTAACTATCTTAATATACATAGTTTAGTAGGTATACATTTTAATCTCTAATTAAGTTCAACACCAGAACTATTTTATATGAAACGTATGTAAAAAAACTCGAGTCGACTCATCAAATCTCTGGTAAAACTGCAATCTATTTGAAATTAATTTGCTTTATTCCTACATGCAATAAAACACCCTTAATATCATTGAGAACATCAGCCTTTGTAATTAAATATTTAATTTAAAAATTAAAGGGTTATACAATTTAAAACTGAGATTGTGGAATAATACACCTTTGTAAACCCTGTCCAATATAGCAAAATACGAGGTCTTTTCTATATAAAAACAGTTAGGTATTATATATAAAAACCACGTTCCTTGTTGTATTGGACAGGGTTTAAAACAACTTAATTCTAGGATAGAACCTAATATTTAAGTAAGTGTACATTATATTAATTTAAATATATGTACTATATTTAAAAGTTATAACTTATAATATTGTTATTTGTATAATTTCCACATCAGGAGTAACCCAAACAAACAAAACTACAAGATGATGTCCATTATATTACAATGATATTGGTATTTTTTCCGCTAAAGCAAATTAAGTATTAGTAGGACATACGTTTCATAAATAATAACTGAATTACATTTCAGAGTTGTCTGAATCATCGGAATCATTTTTGCTTTTTAAACCCTTGTGATGAACGTTTCTTTTAAAGTTACCACGGCCTCTGCTTTGATTTCCTTTGTTAGGCTGATTTAAATCCTTTACATTAAATGCTTTTCCAGAGGGATTTTGTAACCGTCCGCGTTGACCTCCACGTTGACCTCCTCCACGCTGACCTCCTCCACGTTGACCTCCACGCTGACCTTCATTGTTAAGATATTGATATGCAGGACCAGGTGCATGCTGCGGATTCGGTTGATATGGGGAAGCATAGGACTGATTTGGGGGGTTATAGGGTTGCGGATGATAATAGGGAGGTTGTCCAGGCTGAGGTGGGGGATAATAAGGATTTCTTGGAGGTTGCTTTGGTCCAGGTTGATATGCTTGATCTTGACCTTCTTGATATTCCGGGTTTGGAATATTAACTACTACTTGTATTTGTTTGTTCTTCTTCTTGTTTTGCTGATTTTGATGGCCACCATAATTGTATGGTGAAGTTGGTGGAGGAGGCGCGTAACCTGGAGCAGGCGCATAACCTGGAGCAGGCGCATAACCTGGAGCAGGCGCATAACCTTGGGCAGGAGCATATCCTGAAGCAGCCGCATAACCTGGAGCAGGTGCATAAGGTCCATAGGGATATTGGTAATGATGGGGTGGGGGAGGATTTGGAACGTGACCGTGCATAAGCAAAGGAGGATGGTTAAAATTATCAGAATTGCTACGGCGTGGACGATTATGAGGCTTACCAGTAGCCTCCTCATAAGTTGGAGGTTTTGGTTTTGGATTACCACCTCTGTTAGCATTTTTATTTACATATTTTGGCTTATTGGCCTTCTTAGTTGCACCTGCAATTATTCATGTTCATTAAAATTAAAAATGTACAGGTTAAGGTGTTTACTGACCGGCCTGTTGAAGAGGCATTTTGTGAATGTACTCAGTGTTTTCATACTCCTTTTTTCTTGATACCTTCTGTGATTGATACATTTCCTTTATCTTTTTCCCATAGTGTTTTAACGCATACAGTTCCTCAATTCGTTTTTTAATTTTATGGGGTGTAACTGGCTCTACCATATTAGCATGTTCAAAAGCTTTTTTTAATTCATCGTATCGTTCTTTTAGTCTGTTTAAATGATCAATAGCTTGGTGATCAGCAGCGGAACCCAAACCCTCCTCTCTAAAATAATTAAAAAAATATTTAGTTATTAAATTGCTAAAGACAACATTATATTATTATAACAGTTTTGATGTTAAAAGCCTATAGGTTTACACCAATGTACCGTTAAATCAGAAATTCTACTTTCAGGTAAAAGATATATTTTTTGAGAAAGAAGGTCATCCAATGGGTTTATCTCTTTCTACGGTCGTAGCTAATAAATATGTCGTGCTGACTTGATGTTATCATCCATTTTATGAAATGGGTGTTCACTTTATTAAACGGATCCGGTTAGTGTATTATAATTTAATTTCACCATATCAATAGAATTTTTGTGCATTTCATGAAACGGACCGCCGTTTTATGCTCTTACTGAAATTTGTTATAATTTCATTAAGTGCAGGACAACCTCTACAAGTCAGACTTAAAGAACATCGATTAAAAACAAAGGAGGGACCACAACAAAATCAGGATTGTCTGGTCAAATCAACACCTCACAAAGTGGTCAGAAGCAAAAGTTGTGCACAGGGAGTCACACTGGAAGAAGCGGAAATTTCTTCAGGCTGCCTTGATTGGATAAAACCAAGGATCGTTAAGCCATCCAAGTGTGGACATCCCAAACATTAATGTTTAGAAGCCTATTCTTCATCAAAGATAACATGTTGTTTGAAACGTAGTGTATCTAATACAATTAAGACAATAAAAGTCCGACAATATAAATTTAATTTATATTACAACAATTATTAATGTATACATACCTTTTAATTAAATAATTTATGTAGTTAGCATATGCATCATTATAAGGAGTAATTGCATTTACAGACAAAAAATTTGCAAAGGAAGCAGCCGCTACTACTATCTTTTCATGCTCTTCTTTTAGCTCTTTCACTCTCTCTTCGCAATTTCTAATAAGTTTTTTAACTTCCTCCAGTAATGCCGTTTTATTGTTAATATTTTTTTCTGTGTTTTTGTCAACAATATTAGCTGAAACTTTTTTGGTCATATAATAGATATGCATGTGTGTCATAAAGCTACATGAGCACTTGTTACACATTTTATTGGACATAGAAGAACAGTTGATCAAACCTGCGTCACCTATTAATTCCTTTTGAATGTTATTTAAATAACAAGGATCGTGGCATCTTGCAATATAGTTAACACTATTGGTTCCTTCCACCTAAAATTTTTTGGAAATACAATTAAAGTAATAAACTACCTATGTAAAATATATACTACCTTTAAAACCTCAGTACAGCCAATACTTGTACAAACCGTTACAGGTTGGGTCAATTTGGTACACTGCAAATTTATAACTGGCATGTAAAGTTTCTTCTTTAATTCGTCTAATGTTTGATTATCAGATAACTCAATGCTCTTATGTCTGTTTAGAATACGAATGTTATTTTCGATGTTTTGACTGATGTCTAACATTGGCTGAGATAGGTAACCTATCATCCTTCTGGTTTCATTTATGCTTATGGTAGTTTTTACTTGATGGGGAATTAAAGGTTGATTGGTGGCATCTCCAACAATGTATTTTATCATGCTGAAATTATTTAATAATTATTTATCATAAGTTTTTTAATTAAATTACTTACTTCCAACATTGTTCCGAGGACTTGTTCCAACTTAAAATACTGCTAACTTTAACCGAGTTTTCGAGTTCAACGTTATTTTTAACAGCAGCCAAATATCTAAAGGATTCATTATCAAAACAAAATTTGTTTTTCTTAAATGGAATTCTAACGTTTGGAGGGTTGTTTTGAATATTTTCGATAACTTTCTCCATGCAAGCGTTTGTGTCTCCTGGAGTATAGTTAGATCCCCTTGAATTAGTAAAGCAAAAAATAATGTTGTTGGCCGCAGATTTTTCCAAATGAGTAAGAATTTCTTTGATACAGTACTCAAAATTGGGTGTCACCCGAGTGGTAGATGTTTTCAGAAGAATACAAATCGCATGGAGTTCGTGTAGGTTTCCTAGATAGTCGAGGATGTTTTCGCAATTTTGTTTATCTTGTTCAATACCTCTAGTGTCTACTAATCCTGGAGTGTCAATTAATCTTACGTTGGTAGCTCCATTGTAAATCGGAAAAACGTATGTCTTTACGTCCTGAGTCGCAGAATCCCCAACTTGTAAATTCTCATTTCGATCTTCCTTATCATCCAAACGTACTTCCTTAGTAACGCCATTTTTGTCTTCTATAGAGAACAATGTTGGAATCAAAATTTGCAGACTATCTTTTTCTGCTTCTTTAAAGTCCTTAAAATGCAAGTAATTTGCCATTGCGTTTATAAACGTGGATTTTCCAACTCCAGTTTCTCCCAATAGAAGAATGTTTATATCAGACTTTAAATTAATTGAAGATATTTTCTTCGACAGCTCATCTTCGTCCCTATTCATGATTATTGGGAACGCTAAAAATTTATTTAAAGTTTATTTTTAATCAAGAAGGGAGTCTCGAAAATACATGGAATGGAAATTGGTACACTAACGCTATTTAAGTGAAGAGTAGTGTGTTTGAGTTATTAGATTTTTAAAATTGACTATTTACATATACAGAGTATCCGGGAAAAGGGGGTGAATCCGTTAATTTGATTAGATATTAACTTTAAAATTGGTACCTGTACAATGCTTTAACATAAATTGTTACATCTTTTAAGAAAATCAAAACAAAAAACACCCCTGAGATGTATTGAGTTCACCGTGAATTTACCGTGAACTCACCGTGAATTAACCGTGAAATCACCGTGAACTTATCGCAAAAACAGCGTGAGTTCACCGTTTAATTACCGTCTACAAATGTCACAAATGGACGGTATATTCACTGCACATAAACGGTGTATTCACGGTGAATTCACCGTAAACTCAAGGCCGCAAGGGTAGGAAGCTTATGAAATCATTTAATTCTAAGTCAGAATTTAAGCTTAAATAACTTTTTGTTTCTTTTAATATTAGTATACGTTCTAAGTTAAATATTTGTCAATCATAATATAATTTTTTATATCGGTACACTTTCCCTTTAAGCTCAATTCGTTGTGGCAGCTTCAGTTTTGTTAAATTCATAGTTTTATTTTTCTTACCTATATTATTGTTTCTACACTTACTTTTAATATTTCTGTTCGGATTTTTTAACTTGGTTCTACCTTATAGATATGTAACGTATCGTATAATCGTATTTGTTTAAATTCCAGCTAAAAGTGTATTATCTACATAAAAGAGGATTTCATATTTTTCTGTTAGGTCTTTGGGGCACCTCCGAAAATGTTCCGAGAGCCTCCAATTTTTGAACACCCACTTTTTAAACATTCAAGGAGAGTTTACACATAAGGCCGTATCGGATTTTTTTTCCAAAAAATTTTTTTTGGGGGTTGGGGCACCTGAAGGAGTTGATTTAAAAAAAAAAATTTTTAGCAAAAAAATTTTTAGCAAAAAAACTTTTATGAATGGCAACTTTTGCCACCCGGGCCATTTTCAAATTCTAAAAAAAGTTTTTTTCGATCCACCCTAACCTATAGGTGGTAGCAAGCATTTGATTACATTTTTTCGAGTCTCTAGGGGGACAGCTGCCCCTCTGGGCCCCTTGGCGACGGCGTTATTTAACTCCCACTTGTTATCATCAAATTATGTTTTTACAGTGCCAAAACAATTTTGTACAAAAACTTTGATGTCGTTTAATAAGAAAAAAATCTATAACTCGCTAATAAATAGACATGCAACAATATTTTTTTGGAAAATTGTGCTCTCTAAAAATGCCTTTTTCGTAAAATCCATCTAAATGATAACGGAGATCAAAGTTTGAAATAGATAAAAATAAAAGTAGGCATCGGAATTTTGTTTCAAAAATGTTTTAAGGCTGCAAACAAATTTATTTTAAATATTGACATGCGATATAATTTAAATGAATGGTTTTACAAAAAAATTTAAACGACCTTTTTTTAAGCGTACAATAACTTTCATATTATAACTCAAATTTTTCAGTTATATACGAGGTTTGTCAAAAAATATAAATCTTACTCAAGAGTAAAGTACCTTTATTTGTGACAATATCGAAAACTTTAATTATGAAAAGTTGTTCGGAATTAAAAACTATGTTTAAATATGCAATTACATCCTTACATCCTACTTAAACATTTTTTTTACAAATTTTTCGCAAATTACCGATACCGAACATTTATCTTTTTTATTTATTACATGATAACCTTTCCGTTTCGTTCAGAAAGTTATAAGCAAATTCTGATGTTTTGACATTCAATGTCACATTTCTTGCTATCAACAAATTATTTGTTTGCCAGTGCATCCTAGATTACATGTAACTATAGTTACATTTGCATTATAATTATAATATATTATTGTAAACAAAAAAGAAAACATGATTTTTCCATGTAAATGGAAGTAATTGCATAATTGAACGTAGTTTCTAGTTCTGATCAACTTTTTTTAATAAGAATTTTCGTATTGTCAAATATAAAGGTACTTTACTCTTGAGTAAGATTTATATTTTTTTACAAACAGCGTAAGTATACATACGACTGAAAAGTTTTTATATACGATGTATTTTAGATTTTAGAACATGCAGAACTTGAAGAATAACTTTTTTTCTTAAAATTAATAATAAAAAAGTTTCCCATTTCTGCCAACACACTGTAAATTATTATTAAACTTCGTACATAAATAAAGCCATAAAGATTAAATATACTTTAATATTAATTATAATATTATATATTCCCAGGTAGCATAACGTGACGAAACCGTGACGATTGGTCACAAATCGTCACGGTTTCGTTAAGTTTTGCTACCTGGGTTATATTTACCTATATACATATATGTATGTACTCGTAAGTATATTTAATACATAGGTATGTATATTTAATCTTTGGCTAAGAATTTTCGTATTGTCAAAATTTGACAATACGAAAATTTAATATAAAGGTACTTTACTCTTGAGTAAGATTTATATTTTTTGACAAACAGCGTATATATACGACTGAAAAGTTTTTATATACGATGTATTTTAGATTTTAGAACACGCAGAACTTGAAGAATAACTTTTTTTCTTAAAATTAATAATAAATTTTTTTAAAGTTTCCCATTTCTGCCAACACACTGTAAATTATTATTAAACTTCGTACATAAATAAAGCCATAAAGATTAAATATACTTTAATATTGTCACGAAATAAGAAAATATTATTTATTGATTTATTAATTTTACTTTATTTTAATATAATAATGATTTTCCCACATAAAAGCAACAGGAAAGTTTCAGATTATTGCAGACTATTTGATTCTCAAATAGAGTTACGTGGAAATTTATTGTGAGAAATGCAATCTTGCAATAATCAGCAAACATGTATTTCTCGTGTATATGACGTAGTGTTCTAGTTTTGTATATAAACCACAGACCTACAAACAAGATATATTGCTTGTAATGTAAATTCATTCAGAAATAAAGCCGTTATAATGTAAGTTTGGCCTTTTAACCATACGTCACCCAACAGTCCCAATCATCGATGGTGGGAGACCTCATCGTCACATGGTGGAGGCCCACGTCGTCCAATATTAATTATAATATTATATATTATATTTACCTATAGCCAAAGATTAAATATACATAAGTACCTATAGGTACTTATATATATGTATTAAATATACCTACGAGTACATACATATATGTATATATATATATACATATATGTATGTACTCGTAGGTATATTTAATACATATATATAAGTACCTATAGGTACTTATGTATATTTAATCTTTGGCTAAAATGTCATCACGTCAGTTGAGCCTAACATAAAAATGATGTGACAGAATCTTAAAATAGTATATTATTATACGAGATATAGGTAATGCAGGCTATTATTCACGAGGATGAGGTTTGCGTCTCGAGGTGCAAGACGAGACTTAAATCATCCGGGTGAATAATGCGCATTATCTCCAGTATAATACAATACTTTATCTACTCCAATAAGTAGTTAATTAAATGATTTTCAAAAATAAATAAATAAAATTTGACATCCGTCAAATGTTTAACCTCACTTTTTACCCATTTTATATGTTATTATCGAGGTTATTATAGGAGTTCGATTTTGTCCTCGGTGAGAAGCGTATCGCTCCTGCATTGCTCCATGAAAAAGTGTGAAAAATAGTTGACTTTGACTCAGGGAGGACAAAACCGGATTCCAGTCCTAGATAATATTCCTCGTTTTGTCCTTTTTTAAAGGAATAGAGGAATTTATATGAACATTTAAAATTTCAAGGTTACATAACCTATTTGTGTCCACGTGTTTGTTAGACAACCGTTGTCCAATGGTTTTTGGTTCTTCTGAAATCATTGGACGTTAAAACTAGTAGCTGGTTAATAAGGATTTTTGTCCACGACCATAAGGGCGGTGGTTGAGCCGTAAGTCCGCCCAACTTGAAGAAGAAGAAGAAGAAGAAGAGGTTATTATATTGAAATCGGCCAATCATTGATGCCTAACAACGTGAATAATGAGTTTATTATTCTCGTTTTTAGGCCGGAAATTTATAATGTTTATCATTATTCACCGAAAAAAAACAATATTATGCAATAGGAGTAGATAATAGTATATTATGTATCAAGTTTGATAAACGCCATTTTATACACGAATTTAATTTAGGCACGAGCGAGTTTGCGAGCGAGTGCTTAAATTTATGAGTGTATAGAAAAGTTTATAAACGAGGTGCATACTACACTTTTTAAACGAACACGAACAATACTTAGTATTATATTAAAATGGTTTAAATCAAAAAATTTTATAGAGCGCCATCTATAGATATATGAAACAATAGGTGGAATCTGTGTGTCAAGGTTGTAAATCGAAATGTATTTATTGAAAATTGACCGTTTTTCACAGTGAAAGTAAAGAAAATGTTTTATGAGCACTTTACAGTGGAGTCCGTGCCCAAATTTAAGTTATATAACTATATAGTTTACTGCCGGCGAAATTAAAAGGTCAGTACAATGTTCATATAAACTTTTCAAATACTGGCGTTGATAAACTATTTAATACTTTTGTATTTTTGTATTGAGATAATAAAATAATTTAATACTTTCCCAGTAAACACAATTACGTAAATATGACGTAAATATGACGTCATGTCAAGTCACGCTTACGTAAGATATAGGTCACACTTGAGTCATACAAGAGTCATTATTTCACACTTTCTTACGTCAGACTCTGACGTAAACATCTTGATGTAACACTGACATCATACTATTACATAATATTTACGTAATAAATGTGACATAAATATGACCTCCTTATTTTTCATCATGGGGCAAAATAAGTAAATACTGAAACAGCTCACTTGGCTGAAATCAGTTCCCTTGACGTTAAATGAGTGACATTGTGGGTTCGCGGCTTTGGCCTTGCAAAGCAGGCACCAT